AAAATAACAATATTCTTCTTATGGTAAAATATAATTAGCCGGTTTCACCAACATTTGTTAAGAATTAAACTTATTGTTAATTATATATAACAACTAGGTAGTGAAAATTGGTTTTCATCAAGATTTGTTAGCCTTAACACATTGTTAAAACTATTGTTAAACTAATCGCCCGAAATCGGCTTGTTAAAAAGTTAATCTGCATGTTAAAATGTATTGTAGTACTTATATATATATGATATTTATATTAATATAGTTTAGACATTTTTTTTTAATTTTTGATGACTGAGTATACTAGTAATATATAATAATGAATTAAACATTTGATGAGGAATTTCTTTATAATGAGTATTTAGAAAACAATAGAAAAGACAAATTCGATAACCAGGTAAGCAGAAGTTATTTTATGTAGGTAGATTAGGTAAAAAGTAATGACACAGACTTGCATTATAGGTTCAAATATCATAATTTATTGTATTTTTTAATTTAGATAATATTATTATGTCTTGCCTGTCCTGAGTATAACAATGAAAAATATTCTTATCACTACCTACTTTTTTTAGGCCTTCAAAATAGAAAAAATTATTTTAATGACCTTGATTACCAACAATTTTTAGAAAAGTATAGACTATCTAAACAATGTGTTAAGAAATTATGTATAAATAATTTATATGATTCGAAACGTTAAAAGAAAGTAAAATAAAATGCCAAACAATAACAAAGTACAAACTGTCAAATTAAAAAATACAATCACTTATCAGTTACCTATCACATATCTTAATAACCAATAAGAACGTTGAAATCGAGGTAACCGCTTTGGTAACCCAACTAACGTTTTGTTAACTAAACAAATAGAATTTAAGAATAATAATGTTATGGTGAAACTTATTTTATTTGCCCAAATGTTAAATTTAAATGAATTGTTAACTATAAACTAACAATGTGTATTTAACAATAGTTGGTGAAACCGGCTGAATATAAAATTAATCTTAAATCCATTTATATTACTCCATTGAAAGTGTTTTTTTTTAATTCTCACAATAACAACAGTATGGCGGATAGATTCTTGCTGATTCGCGAACAATCCAAAATCTTAAGGGGCCATAGCCTAAGGAAATCTTGAAAGGTCTTCGTGACGGGACGATGAGATGAAGCATTCAATCGTATACCATAAGTCACTCGATATATGATATATAATATAATAAAACGAACGACGCGTACCCAATCATGGAACCCAATATAATACAGATGGCCTTCTTATTGCAAATGACATATTGAACTTTTATATTGAGCTTATACGCTAAAAGTTTTCCTCTCAACAAAACCTGCTCCCTTATTAAATTAGTGATCTATTTGATGACGATAAACGTTCACTAGTAAACGGTCAATCGCACGTGAATCATTCATTTATGAAAAGTGTTTAGTCACAATTTTGTAGAAAATTATATATTTTTTTAATAAATATGTTCTGTACCTAACCCTTTGATGGCCAATTTTTTTTTAAACAGATTAAATTATCAGGAATTTGGAAAAAAATAACTAACAGACTATATATAGATATATATGTATCTAAAAAAATGATATTTTATTAAATCTGGCAGCTTATTACTATTCAAAAACACTTTAAAAAAATTGATTATAATTAAGAATTATCGAAAAAGTCAATTATCAAATAGTGTTAATCTAAGTCTAGGTCACATTAATGTTTTATACATTTAAAAAATTGTACTATTTTATGTACATAGTTTCTTCGAGACTAATAACCTAGATAATGTAGCCTTTAAATAAACTCAATAAAAAATTAAAATCTAGTAGATACCAATATCTCCTTAACAACTGTTAAGAGCCACCTAAATAAAATGCATTTCTATTAAAAAAAATAAAACTATGTAATAAACATGTTGCACTTTTGCTACAATGAGCACTGAAGGGCTTACAACCGGTATTTTAAACATTTCTTAAAAAAAACAAAAAAGTGTTGTTTTTAATTATGATTTTCTATTTATATCGTTGGTCTTACCCGCACTGCCAAAGTTATACAATGATTTGTATTTTTTGATATCTCATTAACTATAGTTTTAACTGAATTCAATAAATTCAACGTTAACAGAGAATAATATTGAAAAAGCTTATGTCTCCTCTGTAAAAGTTGAGAAAAAATGTATAATATATTTTTAAGAGTTTGAAACGTGGCGAAAAAAGTAAACAATTCCTCTTTTTTTTTCTCATAAATATTCTTTAGACATGTCTATATCTGGGAAAATCCAAGATTTATCTCTAATCTTTTGCTCTTGAATATGAAGAATTTTTGTATACGCTAAACCTGATGTTTTGGGAGTTTTAGTTGAGTAATTTGTGTTCGAATAAAAACATTGAAAGTTATACAAATATTTCAATTATGTGTACTTTAATTTTTTTTAACGAAGAAAATATATTATTATTGTAAGCTCTTAACTTGTGAAAAAGCTAGTTTAAGTTTTATGCGGCGAAATGAAAATTATTAGACGGCGCTTTGGTTAGACAATTTCGGTACACGCTTGTGTTTATAAAATATTAGTTGTATAATATGTTTGTTGTTAACTAATACTTTTTTTTATGTTTTTAATGATCAAGCCTACTTGCTGAGAAGAATTCTGGGAATCAAACATATACATATAGTGCTCGTACATAACATACACATTGCACTTGAACATATTATTATTATATTATTACCCTAGTTCTTCCTCGGGCGGATAAAAATTCGTTTTCCCCATGAAATAACTTTTCAGTATTATTTTCCAATGTACCCGTGTACCTTAATTAGGATTCACCGAAGTTAGACTAGTAAAATGTAATAAATGTGTATCATTAAAATAATTACATGTTCATTGTACTTAACACACGGTTTTATCTAAATAATCATCTTGCTAACATATTATTCGAGTGAAAGTTATTTGACTAATTTGCACGCTATAACTTTTTCAAAAAAGAAAAGGCGAACTACTTTTAAAATTGTATGGTTTGTTTTTATAATATATAATATATACTGTACTGTAATAGATGCATATTGGAAAACTAAAATCATAAACCCTTTCTTTAAAAGGGTTGGAACTTTTTCTTTCTTGACCTTTTTTGTAGGGTAGTTTTAGGACTTGCAAACTTTTGTTTTATTTTATAAAAATTTTAAAAAAATCCACATTAATTTCAAAAATAGTATAATTGCATTGTTTATTAAGACCACTCTAATCGTTTCATTACAATTGTTGTTTGATATTAAATAAATAACTAATTAAGTTGATAAAACGATTTGAAAACTGCAAACTTTGTTTGAAAACATGTTGGAAAATAAAGTTTTTGGTCATACAGTTAAGCTGTGGAAGAAAATAGTAGAACTATGGGATTACCTCATGGTCGTGTTGCATTGTTCATTGAGCATTTAATAAAAGTAGAAAAACCTTTTAGTAATTTGGCATTACGACAAAGGTATTTATCAAGAGATTCGGGCTTACTCTTACTTATATATGAACCTATGTAGAATGCAAGTATAAAAATATAGTACATGGTAAAAATACAATTTATCGGTAAGACAAAAAAAAAACTATTCCGGACATTGTTTTACAGAGTTATCGAAATACATATAGATATAATATGAGTATTGTTATCTTAATAAACTTAAGAAAAATCTGTTGTTTTTAGAGAAATATAACTGAAATAAGCCATTCAAGCACATCAACAGTACAGGTTACCAACCAGAGTTATGAAAACAAAATGTGATCACTAATAGTGTTTCCTGTTGTTATCCGACATTCCAGCAACATGTTTAAACTAGCTCTTTCTCAAGTTTAGAGCTTACAATAATAATACTAAGTTTTCTTCGTTAAAAAAAATAAAAGTACACATAATTGAAATATTTGTATAGCTTGCAATACTGTTATTCTAACACAAATTACTCAACTTCAAATTACTCAATTCCATAAACATTAAGTTTTTAACATATACAAATTGTTCCTGTTCAAGAGCAAAAGATTAGAGATAATATCTTGGATTTTCCCAGAAAGACATGCCTAAAGAATATTTATGAGAAAAAAAATAGGAACTGTGTACTTTTTTTGCCATGTTTCAAACTCTTAAAAATATATTATACATTTTTCTCAACTTTTACAGAGTAGGCATAAACTTGTTCAATATTATTCTCTGTAAACGTTGAATTTATGGAATTCAGTTAAAACTAGAGTTATAAATGTATCAAAAAACACACATCATTGTATATAACTTAGGCGGTAGGTAAGACCAAAGATATACATAGAAAATCATAATTAAAAACAACACTTTTTTATGTTTTTTTAAGAAATGTTTAAAATACCGGTTGTAAGCCCTTCAGTGCTCATTGTAGCAAAAGTGCAACATGTTTATTACATAGTTTTATTTTTTTTAATAGAAATGCATTTTATTTAGGTGGCTCTTAACAGTTGTTAAAGAAGATATTGGTATCTACTAGATTTTAATTTTTTATTGAGTTTATTTAAAGGCTTCAACATCTAGGTTATAAGCTTCGAAGAAAACAATGTACATAAAATAATACAATTTTTTAAATGTATAAAACGCATTAATGTGACATAGGCTTAAACCAACACTATTTGATGATCGACTTTTTCGATAATTTTGGGTTATAATCAATTTTTTATTATTATTATATATTAATAATAAGCTGCCAGATTTAAAAAAATGTAATTATTTCAAATATATATATATATATATACTCTTTTTAGTTATTTTTTCCAAATTCCTGATAATTTAATTTGTATGAAAATTGGCCATCGAAGGGTTGGGTTAGGTTAGGTTAGAAGGGTGAGGTAAAAGGGTAGAATATAGAATAAAGTGTTATTATTGCATATACAAATCCGATATTTTTTTAATCTTATTTAGAATATTTTTCATTCTATTTCAATAAAACTTTACCCCGTCGAGAACCGTTAAAAAGGCAGGATTTTCACACAGAAAAAGTTCAATCTGGATCGACTTACCTTATCGTATGGATCGGCCAGTCGTTTGGGACAATTATTTTAGTAGAATATTTCTTGAGATAAATCGGATACGACGACCACAAAGTTGGACACGATTTTTGAGGCGGTTAGACACGTTTAAAAGTGCACACGGCGCAGCCACAGGACACGCTCGTCTCAAAAACCGCGGACCAGACGACTGTGGCAGCCGCACACGCTTCGCCGTTTTTGGACCATGCCGGGGCTCCGCCTCTCGGTCTCACCGCCAACCCACAGGGACAGACAATCTCAACACATTACACTATTACACTTCTTATTCACACGTCTTCACACGCGGTCGTCTTCGCGGTTTCACACGTCCAAAGTCGAAGAAAGATCCGACCGTCCACGCAGTCCATAGATCACCTCGAACCCCCTACCTACCCCATCCCTACATTTCCCCTTAAGGAATTTGTTGCACGACCGATCCGTTGTCAAATTGTTCACCCCCAAAAACCCCATCCCTCGCCCTTAGTTTTCCTCGATTGACCTTCCGGTATGTTTGCATAATATGCTCTATCGAAAGAAAAAACCTAAAAAAGAGTTATTTTTAATTATGATTTTCTAACCCATTGCCAAAGTTATACAATGATTTGTATTTTTTGATATTTTTTTAACTCTAGTTTCAACTGAAATTCCATAAATCTAACGTTTACAGAGAATAATATTGAAAAAGCTTATGCCTACTCTGTAAAAGTTGAGAAAAATGTATAATATATTTTTAAGAGTTTGAAACGTGGCGAAAAAAAGTAAACAATTCCTCTTTTTTTTTCTCATAAATATTCTTTAGACATGTCTTTCTGGGAAAATCCAAGATATTATCTCTAATCTTTTGCTCTTGAATATGAAGAATTTTTGTATACGCTAAACCCTGATGTTTTGGGAGTTTTAGTTGAGTTATTTGTGTTCGAATAAATACATTATACAAATATTTCAATTATGTGTACTTTAATTTTTTTTAAACGAAGAAAACTTATTATTATTGTAAGCTCTGAACTTGCGAAAGAGCTCGTTTAAACATGTTGTTGGAATGTCATGTAAACCCAGGTAGAACTATTAGAAATTAGTGATCACATTTTGTTTTCATAACTCCGGTTGGAAACCTCCACTGTTGATATGCTCTTTTCAAGTAAAACTGTACGTGAAAATCAGTTATTATTAATTTCTCGAAAGGTTTACTATTTGGACTAAACCCCTTTCATAAATAATCGGTACAATCCACACACAGTCAGTTGTAACTAGGTTTTTTTTTGTTCTTCACCGATCCCAAGTCCGACGAATATTACCAATTTCCCATTCCACCAGTCTTACTTGAAGAACAACAGCCCAAGTTAACATATAAAAATCCTTTAAACGGGCATATATTATTTGCCATAATATATGCCAAATGATGTTTGTGGTAAAAATCTGATATAAACATTATTATCCCCGAATTTTGTTAATTTGTTTTGAAATCTCGTTTTTCGCCTAACCAATAAATGATATATAAGATTTATATTTTTATAATAAACTGTCGTTGATTTGAAGGAACTGATCGACTTGTAGGTTTTCTTCAAATATAAACGTGTTTAGACTACTTTGATATTATGTATCTTGTATGAAATATCTGAAAATTAGATTAGTCTATTTGTTTAAAAATCCCTAAAAATGTGTTTGACATATTATCAACAGCTGTGTTTTGAGAGGTTTACTGTTTTGGTTCTATGCAAATAAAATTGTCTAATTTAAAACTATACATTTGTTAAATAAAATATAATTTAAGAAATTGTCTTAAGAGGTTGACATTTTTTTCTATCTTGTAGATTTTGAAGAACACTACAAAATTTAAATTATTTTAAAAGTGAACTAATAGCTAATCAAAATTTAGGTAGAACATAAAATATTTTTAAAAAAAAACCAATTAACCATCTTTCTAATACAGCTTTTTTCTCTCATGAAAGAGTACTACAGAGTTCGGTTTAAACAATATATGTACTTACTGGGAAAACTTTATCCACCAATAAGCCTAATTATACACACTGAATGTGTTCCATATTCTACTTGAACAATTATCTTTTACCTTAGTTCTGTAGAAACTTTTGTGGCAATTGATATTTATCTATGAAACTTTGTATAGTTCTCTAATACAGACACAATTATGCGGTTATAAAGTTACTGAGGTAAATTCCACAATTACCATTGAATTCATAAATTATTTATATTATTATTATTGTTACTATTGTTAGGCGGATACATTAATAATAATAATTTATTTATTTTTAATTTTATTGTTCATTTTACAAAAAATATATTAATCTTAATTATTTACCAAAATAGTTTTCAAAACTATTATCGTTTACGTAAACTATTTCCACAGAGTACTATATGCAATTCTATTTTTTACTTATACAAACTGCAATCACTTTGAATCACCAGATATATATTATATACAATGAAAACTGGACATTACAGCTCGGTGCGAAGAAAATGAAGAAAAACAAAAAAAAACAATTAGCAAAGCAAGACTACTATTGTATACTGTTAAACATTTTCAAGCAAATACATTAGCTCACCTTATTTTTGTACTTTAAAAAATATAGGTTTAAATAGTTTGAATATATTATCAAGCAGAAATATATAATATCAATATTAACACATCTTTAAAAATCAACCCCTTGTAAGTAGTAATGCAGCCGGTTTCACCAACTATTATTAAATACACTCTTAACATAATGTTAGTTAACAATTCAAATGAATTTAACATCTAGTTAAATTAAATAAGTTTCACCATAACATTATTACTATTAAATTAAATTTGTTAAGTTAACAGAACGGTAGTTGGGCTACCAAAGCGGTTACCTTTTTTCCAACGTCCTCATTGGTTATCACAAAATTTGATAACTGATAAGTGATATCAATATAATTTTATAATCAAAAATCTCAAATAGTAATGTATAATTCGATCTATGGCATTTTTTAACATGCCAATTGAATTTTTAACAAGCTGATTTCGGCTGATTAACTAACAATCGTTTTAACAACGTGTTAAGGCTAACAAATCTCGATGAAACCCAATTTTCACTAACTAATTGTTAAATATAACTAACAATAAGTAAGTCCTTAACAAATGTTGGTGAAATCGGCTGATGATATTTTTGCAGAGTTTGCACAGTCCTGAGGAAATCCGGAGCATTAATTAAAAGCAAGTATAATATAATATAGTAATTTCACAAAATAAACTTATGCAGTTACTGTGCAGCAGCAGGTGTTAATCGCGTCTTCGACACTAAGACTGCGACGATGAAAGACGTGTAACGGTTATTCGGCAGAGAGTTTAGTTAAGGTGGCTAGTGTAGGTATATGTGTGTTTTAATTATACCGGAAAATTCCTAATTACACTTGGCTTTTAAACAAAAAAATACCGGTAAAACGACGACCGTTTGTCGTTGGAATTCCAATCTAAATTACTTGTTCTCTCTCTCGCTTTGCTCTGTTTTTCTCTGCTTACAACACAGTTGTTGTACACATACACAAGGAGCGAGCGGCTTCATTTTGAGAATGCAACGGCGGGGAACGACGTTAAAGTTTTTGTATTAAAAAGGGCCGTGACGATTCCTTAAGACGGCGTGTAAAAATGTCGCCATGTTCCGCCGGGGCGAGCACGTCGTCTTGTAACTGAAAACCGATAATTTACGACTCGAGTTGTGCACAGCAATTTCTCGAAATGAACTCCAAACAGTTTAACCTGTGTGTGTGTGTCAATCGTCAAAATTACATTTTTTCCCGGCTCGCCTTACCGTGTCGCGAAACGTTAAAACTAAACGAAACCAATGCCGGGTTGCACCAAATATTTACACAGAGGTGTAAACTCGTTTAACTGGGGTTAAAATAAATTCTATTGCATAAAAACCACGTTTTAAATTTTATATGTTGTTAAAAATGTACTTTATCACGAGTTAAATTAGAAGGTCATTTATCGCTGTGTAAAAATGTATGTATAGTTAAATTTTGTTATCAATGGTTTGCGTTAAAATGGCGATAATAGAATTGTGTGTTATCAGTTTATCATTGATGTGATAATAATATCAACTCCTAATTCTGATACTATTTATTCGATAACCATACTGGTATACTGGTAATAACCTAACTATAAAACAACGTTTTAGCAACACTCATGAAACCTAACACAAAGTAGGTAGCATGTTTCTTATGTTAGGACTTACATTAAATAACATTTATTTTTTAAATACCAGTCTTTTGGTCTTTAATTATAAAAAAAACACGTTAAATGCAAACCCAGCGAACAGGGAAATTTTCATTTATTTTTTATACTAAAAGCAAATCCCAGTGCTTAAACCTAAAATCCTACCTACAGCCGTTAAGGCATATTCACACTGGTATCTGCCTAAATTTTCTTCTACGTATGGTGTTGGCCGTTTCAATAGTATTTTCGCAAATACTTTATAAGCTGAGTTAAGCGGTGACATACCTTTATAATTTTCACAGTTTGACTTATCGCCTTTTTTATGTATTGGTGTGATTTTTAATGGTTTTCAGACTTGGGTTGAAGCTAAAATTATGTTAGGTATATAATTCAACTGAAAGTCTATGTACGACCCGTTAGCATTTTAAGTCATTTTCATACTCAATACTTTGTCGTTAGTACTGATTCCGGCATAATATATATATCACTGTAAGCTGTTAAACACTGTCGAAACTTAAAATACAAAAAATTGTCTACAGCTCCTTTGTCTTTCCGTTTGGAGCTATCAAAGGCAAGACGTTCGTCTTGTTTGTGTACTTAAAACGACACATGTCGTTATCTAATCTGGATCCAAAAACACATTATTCTCTTTCTTGAAAACACAACGTGTAGCGGATAATAGAGTTGTTTCATGTGAATACCCTCGAGGAGGAAACGCTTTTCGCGATTATTGTTGTTTCATAATAACAATATATTATTTAATGACTAGCCTACGGTGTTCCGAAATTCCAACTCGACGCAAATACCGTTTCTTAATAATAATAATAATTTCCAATAAGATATTAATGTTGCTAAGAATATATTGCAACATGCAGCAAACGTGTCGTTTGAGAATTTTGGCTATTTTCAGCCACGTTTGGCTTTTAGACTTGGTCAATTTTTCAAACGATTCTTTGATTT